TCAAATCTTGCATGAACTCATCTCTCTTTTTTTGACATTCTATCATCCTCTTTTCAAGATCCCAAGATTTAACCCATGGTATGAAATCTCCAATAGGAGCTGAACCACTCAACTTAAAGGTCTCTGCATGAAACTCACGAAACCTCTTTGCTTCTTTAACATCTTCCACGTTCTCCCCATAGTAACGCTTTCCAGCTATCATTCTCATCATCATGTTGAGCGTCAACTCGAAAAACGATGTTCTCAAATCAACAAGGCAATCTTGACATTTTAAGAAATTACGAATCATATTCTTAACCTCGTCAGCTCGGATGTGGTACAACATTTGGAGACGACTGGCTGATAAAAGCTCGAGGGAGGAAATCCGCCGGAGGTTCCGCCAGTGATCACCGTAGGGTGCCCAAGACATGCCGGAGAAATTATAAGCCAAGTGTTTACCGATGAGGAAGCGAGGACGGTTGGCGAAAACGACATCGTTTTTGGTAAAACACTCTTCGGCAGCTGACGGCGAGGAGACGACGAGGACTTTACGGGACCCAAATCGGAGTAAAAGAACGTCGCCGTTTTGCTCGGAGATGCGGGAGAGAGTTCTGTAGATTGGTTGCTTGAGGAGGTAGAGATGGCCGATGATTGGTAAACATGGAAACAGGGTTGGTGGGAGGTTCTGGATTTTGTTCAGGAAGTGTTTGGTGAAGACGAAGACTGGTAGAAACAGTAAAAGGGAGTAGAGATACCAGACCGCCATGATTAACCAACTGACTCAATGATGGAGCAATATTATATGTCCCTGCAATTTTTAACAATTAATATTATTAATAAATTAGGAGATATCTTTCCATTAATGACAAAAATTAAAATTAGTACCAAATATTTATTACATTAGCTGTTAAGATGAATTGCAATAACTACACTCTAAATTTGCCTATTCTTCATTTACTTTCTTTATTTTCAAATTATATGCATTTATGTCTTCTAATTTGTAGGTTAACAAAGGTATTATTTTTCAATTCAGTCATATTTTATACTTAATATTTAGAATAGGTTAGATATTAATATTTTTAATTTTTGATATAGTTTAAATAAATGTCATAAACTTTTTGGAAAATGTCTAACTTAATCCTTATTTTGCAAGTAAATATTTGTCTGAATTACACCTATTATCCATTATTGAGCTCTTAGATACTAGTTAGACTATTCTTTATTGCATAAACATTATAGATTAATCATAATTTTTTTTCTTACAAATATTGAAATTTGGAGGGGAAGACATTATTGAATAAGTACAAAGAAAACAATAGAAAAATAAAAAGAATTTTTTTTATAAAAGATTGGATTGCTGCATTTTTTATATTCTAAGTATTAATGTATTTTATTATTATATTCACTACAAGAAAAATAACATATAATAACAATAAGATATTGTTACTATAGGGTCATTTTCTGTTGGTATGACCCTATGAACTACACCAGCATTTGTTCTTTTTTTATATTCATTACATCTATACTGGTGATTGAACTGATTATTATAATAAGATCCAAGATATATAAACAATATATTGATGATGTAAGTTATTAACGTATACTACCAAATTTTCTGTTTTTACATGATGAGATTATATAAGTGAGTAATTTTTGATAAAAATATTTACCAAGTAATCACAAAAATCAATGATCTTAGCACTCATTCCATGTGGCAAAAAGCATCTTCATTGCTACAAGAAGAAATTTCTTCAGCAACAAGAAACAATCATAACATTTAAGCTTAATAATCTTACATTATCTAAATTACATCTAACAAAATATATTTTTATATTCATTTGGGACTCTTAGGTCTTTTAGAACTTTTAAAAATTCATCTTTCTCCAATCTAGTCATTTTATAAAAAATTTTAGGAAAAAATATAATATTACAATCATAGCAAAGTTGTGGGTGAACTACATTTCTTCTATCCACTTCCTCAAAGTCATATCGAGTCTTATAATTATTTTTTTGTCTTACCATCTTAATTCAACAATATGCCCATAACATTATCATAAATATTTCTTTTTCTGTGCATCATGTCAAGATTATGACATAATAAAAGATATTTTTAGTAAGGTAATATGAAAACAAAATATGTCTCTTTCCATTGTTGTGCTCTATATTATTCTACATCTTGAAGGTTTTCAGTTGTCTCAATAATGTGGTGCCATAAAAAATTGTTTATCAGTTCAAAATTTTAATTTATGATTAAGCTCTAATCAATAATGATAACGCATTAAACAATATATATACATATTTTCACTTAAGTTCAACCATAAAGAGGTAATTTCAAATACACAAGATGGACAAGCAAATTGTCTCATAGTGTTTCATACAGACAAAATTTTAAAGGTAGAAAATTTATTTATTGTATACATTAATGTTGTTTGTATCTTGAATATCTTATTCAAAAGCATCAAATGTATCAATTTTCATATAGCACAACTCTTTAAATTATATACTAAAAGCATATATGTATATATATATTTCCATATATAATACAAATGAAGGTTGCTTCATACACATCCAAAGGAAAGATTATAAGGTATTAATATGACAAGCCAAGTATTATGAGTAAGGGAACTAACTTAAGATCTTTTTGTCCATTCAAATACCAAACTCTCTACTAACTTCACCGTTCACCTTCTCTTTCTAATGTAGTATGCAATTATCAGGATATATACATGAGTCTTTTTATATGTCAAATCTAAACTTGATATCATTTTTTTTAATGTCATAAGAAGTTTCCAGAAGGGTATTTTCATATAGTACTACAATATTTTAATAACTCTGTAAATATGGATAATGATTTTTTATTCAACCCATCAAGACTCTTCAAATAATATAAGTGTATAATAAAACCTAATTTGTGTACTTCTTACAATTTAGATAAAGCTCTTGCTTAACCTCTTTAATAATTAATGTCAACATTTTGATTATTATTTTTCGAATAATATGACAAAATATCCTTAAGTAAAATTTCCATATCACGTTCAAATGGCAACTCTCCTATGTCATTTTAAAACATATTGTTAGAAGTAAAAAACATGGCTCCTCTCGTCGTGATAACTTGTAAGAAACTATAGATAAGTGATCTTATACAACTAATCTGTACCACTAATGTATATTGACACATTTTTCATAATGACACAAGATTTTATTATATCTAGCTGATTTCTCAAAACCAAAATTGAGAAAATAAAAAACTCCCAACTTATGTTCTTTACTTGGATCTTTCATTTTGTTTATATTTCCACCTTATTTTTATTTCTCTACACTGTAATATAATTTTGAAAAGGAGCATCAACAATCAATTTTTCAAGTAACACATTTTAGTACATTTTGTGAGTATCAAATCTTTTATTCTGTTCATATTTTATTTCAATTTAATATTTGTTTTGCACTCTGATTAATGAACTGTACATATCTTTCATCTATCAATAATAACAAAGTGAAATTGCTCCAAAATGAGTCATGGACTTTGAAGATTATTCATGCTGATGTGGTTTAACTAGTTAGTAGTTGTTATTTCAATATTTATAGTTATGTATAGTTGGTTTGTTAGATTGTTGTACTGTGTGTGAGTTGTTGAGATGGAATATCAGTAACCGTTTTTCGTCTTCTCTTTTCTGTATATAAAGAACACTTGTCCAGACTCCGTTTTCAAGAATAAAGATAATTTTCTTCTTCTTCTTCATCATCTGATATTGAATTTATCATGGTATCAGAGTGGTTGATCCAGCTCTATTGAATTTTTTTTGAATTTCTTTTTTGATTACTTGTTTTTGATAACTTGCTTCTATAATGGAAGAAAATAGAATGCAAGATTTGAATACTAATGCTGGAATTGAGGGAGTAACCGAAAATAAAAATAATGAAAAATGAGTTCGAAATCCTTTGGTGTTGCAAAACTTAGAGAATCCAGGGATGATTTTGGTTACTAATCCACTTACAGGTAACAATTATTTCACTTGGACACGAGCTATGAAGATTGCTTTAGGTGCAAAGAATAAACTAGGTTTCATTAATGGTAGACATGTAATGCCTAAGGTTGATTCAATAGATTATGAGAAATGGATTCGAGTAGATTATATGGTGACCTCATAGATTTTGAATTATATTTCAAAAGATATAATTGAATCTTTCCTTTACACTAGTTCAGCTAGGGAATTATGGTTGGTGTTGAAAGAAAGATTTGGAGAATATAATGGTCCCTTATTGTATCAACTATAAAAGAAAATTGCTTATATAAATTAGGATAATATGTCTGTGGTGCAATACTTTACAAAGTGGAAAAAATTATGGGATAAATTGAATGTGTTAATGCTAATTCCATAATGCATATGTGGTGTTTCAAAGGCTGTTGCTGATATTACCACATCAAATAGATTTACTAAGTTCTTGACGGGACTCAATGACTCTTATGACAATATCAGAAACCAAATATTAGTTATGAACCCTTTACTTACAATCAACAAGGCTTATTCGATGGTATTAAGAGTGGAAAAGTAAAGGGAAGTTCATAGCAGTTATTCAGAACCTATGGAACAGAATGCAATGCTTGCAAGAACATAAAATTATAAAAGAGATAGAAATGCTAGTAAATCAGGCAGATGAGGTAGAGGTTCATTCAAGAAAATATCAGACTTACATTGTGATCACTGTATTCATGATAGTCACAAAAAGGATAATTATTTTAAACTGCAAAGATATCCTGATTAGCATAAAGAAAAAAAGAGCAAAGAGCACAAAGACGCAAGAACTATGTAAATCCAGTTGATTCGCCATTGGATATGAATAAAGGATTAGTAAATGAAGAATGAAGTGTAAAATTTGCTGAAATGATGTAGGAGGAAATAGCAAAGTTCATGAAAGGAAAGGTTGTGCAGTATGATATAATAAACTTCGCTCATTTCAAAGATTTTACAGGTAATGTTATTCTTCATGCACTGAATTCAATTAAACATTTTAAATTAGGAACCTGGATAGTAACACTGGTGTATCTAGTCATATGTGTGTGGATATAAATTTGATAACCTCACTTATTCCAGTAACCAAACCTACACCAGTTTGCTTGTCATATGCTTCCATTGAACTTGTTCATCATATAGGAACTGTGCCTTTAACTGAAAATCTTGCCTTAACTGATGTTCTTCATACACATAGCTTCAAATTTAACATGTTATCTATGAATAAATTATCTTAAACAGATTGGATAAAATTTGTTTTTTATCCAAAATATTGTATTTTACAATACCTGAAAAATGATGAAATCTTGACTGTGGGAAGAGTGATGTCCAGACTTTACATTTTAGACAGATAATCTTTCTATCTAGAGACTATTAAATCTTTTTTACTTTCTATGATTAAAATTAATAAAACTCTTTTTTATACTCCTGTTGATCATTCTGTTGCTAGTTCTGTTACAAATAATTTCTTCTTATGGCATTATAGATTAGCACACACCTCTACTACTGTCATAAATCACTTGCCTTTTGTAATAAAAGATCAAAGGAGAAATAAAGCTTGTGATATATGTTTAATGTCTAAACAGTAAAAACTTCCTTTTCCTATTAGTACTAGTTCTTCAACAAAATTTTTAAGCTTTGCATGTAGATATTTGGGGTCCTTATATAACAGTTTCTATATCTGATGTACATTTTGTTTAACAGTTGTTGATGATTTTAGTAAACTAAATGCACTTTTTT